CACGTCTCTCAGCCCATCATTTCTGCTCATGGCTCCCATGTTCCACCCTAGGGTTGACTTCCTGTGATCTAGTTCAGCTCCATGGTGGGAGGGGTTTTGCTGTGAGACTCTATTCCTGCAATATATACTCTGGGAGGAGAAAGACAGATATGTAGGTAGACGGTTATTTTTGTAGCTCTGAGAGAAGTGTGTGGGAGACGGTTCGAGACTCGAGTCTGAGATGCGATAGTAGAATCTGGAGGTGAGAGCTAGTCATAGACTCCTTCTCTCCCTCTCTGTTTTTCTCTCAGGGGATGCATAGCTTACATTTGTATACTGCAACTTTGACCCGCCTGGCAAATAAATCTCTGGAGAAACATGAAGTAACCCCCACAAAGTACACATGCACGTGCACACACAGCAGCAACTGTAAAAATTTCCCTTCTCCCAGAATGCCACCATGTAACCAGTCTGTCTTCAAGATAATGGGTGTGTAGATCAGCGGTTCTCAATTCCAGTCCTCGCGTACCCCCGCTCTGCATGTTTTGCATGTCTCTCTTTGTTAACACACTGGATTCAGATCATCATCTCGTTAGAAGTGAGCTCCGTGCATGAACTGTGTTTCGATTGACATGGTCCCTACACAGTGTCCATTGCTCCCTACTCCCAGAGCAGGGGAAAACCGTTGAAGTTTACTTCACTTCGGAATATTCATTTACAGATTTGCGCTACGCCGCTGCCTGCAGCGTCTTCACACACATACAAAACTTACTAGAGAATCGTGAAGTGGGACATAATATACCTCTGTAAATAAATACAATTTAAATTCACGTCTCGCTCACTTAAATGCCCTTTATATGGAACATATACGCTCCCTTCAAACTTGAATCATGGAGGAATATCCGGTAATGTCCACTTCGCAGGGCACTTACAGTCAAATATAACAAACGTCTGAAGCAATAAGAGAAACATACAACATGTGCAGAGCGGGGGTACGTGAGGACTGGGATTGAGAACTGCTGGTGTAGATAATGCAAATGGAAGACCGATATTTTCTTTTACCCATATTTAATCGATAAACAATATCAGGTCTACTAACAAGTGTTGGGGGTTAAACGGTATGTTTAACAGGAGCTGTCATTTCAGTGTTTTACTTTAGATATGCTTTTTTTTTAAATTGCGGTATATGATATGCATCTCACTTTTTTTCCTAATTGTTTTTTTTTATTATTATTATTATATTTATTTAAAAAAAAAATCTATATCCTGCCCAGTGTTGTCCAATGAAACAACGATATATTAAAGGCTATGAAAACAAATATAGTGAATATGTAACTATGTAGGCTATGTTATATATTATGTGCAAAAAAGGGTTAAAATCACATGACATCCTAACATTGTAACCTTAAAGTCTAAAAACAAAAATAATGCTTTGTAAAGCAGAAGTTAATTGCACTAAACTACAAATGGAAAAAAGCACAGACTAAATGCATTATATCTTGATTAACTTTACAGTTAATGCCATCAAGAAATGCACTTACTTGTGGGTTTAAAATTCTACAAATGGCACATTTGTTCAGCAACAAATATTTTAGTAAAATTTATATTTTAGTCAGAATTATTGCAATCCTATTTTATTGGGCTCTATGTGTGTTGCGCATTT